CCTCCGAGCCCCCGTTTGCAAGCAGCCGGCTTGTGCAGGGGGCTTGCTTTGTGGTTTTGAAGCCTTGTTGTTAGAATTACCCCACCCTTGATTTTAACCCTGCCTCAGTGTCACTTTGTGGCAGTGAGTTTCACAGGCTCAGCGTTTGTTTCTCCGCGTGACCCCAGGCTGTTTGCTTCATCTACCTGGGATTCATCTATCGGCAGAAGGGCCTGGTGTCACGGAGCCCCAGGATGGGTGCTACGCCCCAGCTTTTAGACAGTGGGCTGGCGCTCCCAGGGGTCCGTTTCAGCCAGTCTAGACCCCTTCATTCCACCCCAGGCTCTTACATGACACACGTCTCTAGCTTTGATCCAAGAGCAACCTGTTAACCCTTCCACCCCCACTGGGTAGCAGTGCAAAGTACGGAGAGAAACTGAGGCATGCATAGGCATCAGGAAACTATTACAGAAAATTCCTGCTTTGTAACACCTGGTTTGGTGGAGTTTCCGTTGTCCTCTGCCCCATGCTGGCTCAGACCTGGGAAGTGCCGGCAGCTTTATCCTCTCCTGGCTGTTGCATGGTTCAACAGCTTGTTTGGCAAAGGCAGAGCTGAGCCCCAGAGAGATGAGTGACCTGGAGTTCAGAGGTGCTCACAGGCAGCCTCACCCAGAGCACAGCTGGGACCCACCTTTGCGGGCGTCCCCTGTCAGCGTGATCTCGGCGGCAAAGCGGGTCGGTGTTGCAGGCTTGGAGCCGAGCGGGAGAGAGACTCCTTGTTTCCATCCGGCTTCGTCCCTGGCAGCCTGCGCTCAGCCCCGGAAAGCACGGCTCATTTGGTAGGAGGTGCGGCGAGCCTGCAGAAATCCGGGTGGGGAATCGAACTGCAGAGTGCTTGGCAGGGTTCTGAGCCAGTTCTGTAGGCTTCCGCCCTCTCGGTATCGGTTGTGACCGCTTCACGGCGTCGGTGAAAGAGAGTTGATCTTGGATAGACAGGCGGACTTTGTGTCTTGCGACAGAGACTTCCAGCTGCGCTGTGGTATTGGCTAGTAGGGTGCAGAGAGCCGGGTACCCCGGGGAGGGTGGTGGTGCGTGCTGAGCAGAGGCGCTGTGTGTATGTACACTGGCCATGGCGTGGCAATGATGCCTGGCCTTCTGACTAGTTGCAGAGGGGCATGGGCATCGTCTCAGGGCTCCTGCAATAGAAATAATCAATAACGATGATTAGCACATGGAGAGACCAGCCCCTGCATGCGTTGCGGGAGCTCAGGGCAAAGCAGCCCAAGGGGCTGGAGGAATCAATCTGCGTGGGGGGATGTTCTGGGGTTATGGTAGAGCTTGGGTAGCATCCCCCACCCCCTTCGCAGTGAAGGCAGGAGCTGTAGCCTGAGGGGCTGTCTCTGCAGGTCAGAGATCGCTACTGCTGCTTGCTGGGATGAAATAAATCAATCACAGCCTATGTTGTAAAAAGAAGAACAGGAGTACTTGTGGCACCTTAGAGACTA